GGAGGGAAGGGGAGCCCAAGCGAGGGGGCGGGGAGCCGAGGCTAGTAGCGGGCGCGGAGTCTAGGGGGAGGCGGCGGGGGGCGAGGCGGGCTCCGCGCGGGCGAGAGGCAGCTGCTGGCCGGGCTGAGTCAGGAAACGGCGGCCGGACTTGCCCGGGAAGGAGACGAGAGCCCGCTGGGCCGGGCTGCGGGGCCCGAGAGCGCGGAGCCGGGCACCTCAGCACCGGGCAGCTACACAGGAGCCCAGCAGCCCACTCCACGCTGCCAGAGCCGGCAACCGCCTGCCGCCCGCTCTGGGATGTCCGAGGAACCCAGGTATCCAGGACGGTGACGGAGCGAGCCCGAGGATGGGACGGCTCCCGCAGCTCCGGCTCGTCAAGGTAAGAGCAAGACCGTCAGCGTTCGAGCGCGGGCGCCCCCAGCTCCCGGCGCGCGGGGCTTGGTGGGCTGTGGGTGTGATACGCGGAAGGGGTGGGTGTCACCGAGCAGAACTGTGCCGAGGTCCGGGGGCGACCGCGGTTTGAAGGGTGGCCCAACTCCCTCTTCCTGGACCTTTGGAGCAGGCATTCGGCTGTGGGGGCAGAACTCTGAGGGTAGGGGAAAAGAAATCGTTGTGGCGAAGCTGCCGGGATGTTGGCGGAGGAGGGGGTCCGCCCACCCGGCTAACCAGCTCTGCGCGGGGAATCGCTCTTGGCTTTAGGAACAGATGCATGGTTCCTCCTCCTATCCCTCCCGTGTAAACCAGGTTCCCGGGGTAGGAGGCTCTGGAGAGGGGTTTCCCACGGGCCCCAGCACCCTCTCAACTGCTTTCCAACTCTGCACGCCTTCGCCCTGTTCCTGGGCTCTCCTTCCAGCCTCTGCAAGTCCGGGGAGATAAATGTCCCCGGCGCCTTCGAGCCCTGAATCAATATCGCAATCTCCGGGGAGCAAATGGTGCATCCGGCGGTGGTTACCGTTCCTCCGCCGCCGCGGGCCCGCCCGCGGGAGCCCAGCGCTCGCTCTCCCAGCCTTTGCACTCACGGGTCCCCGCGCCAGCTCGCTACTGCCCCGGCTCTGGCGACGCGATTCTGGCGCCCGGAGTTTAGGAAAGTCGCCAGGAAAGCCGCACGTCCAGCGTCTGCTCCCTGAAGTTCGGGGGCGGCGGAGGCTGCCCGTGAGCCCGGGGAAAGATTAGGGGGTCGACAGCCGAGTCCGCCGCTAGTGACAGCCCCCACTTCCCCTTTGCAGAGCGATTCCCAAAACGATTGGGCTGGCGGGGTGTAGGCAAGGAGGCAGCAGAGGGAGGGAGGGGAAGGTGGGCCTTGGCGCCGCCGCGGGGGAATCCGGAGAGGCTCCCGCCTGAGGATCCGGATTCCGCAGGGTCAGTGTGGACCGCCGGAGCAGACACCAGCTCGACTGGATTCAGAGCATTTAAAAGCGATTACATTCAAAAGAATCGAATGGATTTGGGGGAGGGGAGCGTACTGACTGAATTTCATTTTTCCGTCAGTTATTAAACCAAGTATACGTATATCAATACATAAAGTGGTTTGAATTAAACCACCATGACTTTAAAACGCACCTGCTTGCTAGATCATCAGTTGAGACATCCCCAGTTCTGAGGCTTTCTCCCTTCTCTCCCTTCTCTCCCGAATATTTATAAGTTGTTTTTTCAAATGACTGAGGGTTGGTCTGATTGAACCCGTATCTTCTTCTCCACTGAAGACTGGGGGTGAACCCAGAGATTATTTTCTGGGTGATCAAGGAGACCCCGGAAGGGAGGAAGAAGAACATCCAGAGAGGCTGGATAAATGGCACTGAATGGGAATATTTTCCAAAAGGCTAGTGGTCTATATTCGCAAACCTTGGTCTAAATTCGCAAATCGGTTGGACGAAATTCAACATTTTCAATAAGTTCAAAGGACTGAACCATAGATTTTTTCTTTTGTTTTTGACTTTACATGGAAATAGGCAAATGTTCTTTCTCTGACCTTTCTTAGAATCATGTGCAAATCTCTGCTTAGAATTATGATGCTTTCCTAAAAGAAAAAAATATTTTTTCCTGTTGTTGTGTGTGTGTTTCTCCTACTAGGAGGTGATGTGTGTGCCTGTATAGCTACCCTAATGAATTCAGGTGGTGCTCAGTAAATATATACTGAATGAATGAGAGGCAGTGAATGAATGGGCAGCTAAGGCTGATTTCAATTAAATAATTACTTTTACCTTTTATTTATGTAGCACATACAACTTGCTGGGCATTGTTCTACCTGCTTTGCAAATATCAACTTATTTAGTCCTCATAACAGCCCTGGGAAGTAAGAGTTATTACTGAGGCACAGAGAGGCTAAGTAACTTGTTCACATACAGCCAATGAGTGGTGGAGCAAGAATTTCAAACCCAGGCCCTGTAGTCTAAGGCCTTGTTTTGTTAGCTTTTACCAGAAAATATTTTAAGCCCCTTAAATCTCATCCTAGACCTCTGGTAGAGGAGAGTGCAGGTGTTTTTTTCAGTATAAAAGTCAGAATCTAGTGGGGGTTCATCCAAAATCTGGCTCTTTCCTCCCCATGTCAGCCAGTATTGGGAAATGGTCTACTCTGGGTCCCTTATTGTGAGCCTTACACTGTCCCAGATACAGAGAACTGGGGCGGGGGAGGGGGGAGTGAGAAATGCGTGTGTGTGCATGGGAGGGTGGTTGTGTGTGTGAATGAGGGAAAGATGGGGTGTATGTAAGAGTGTGTGTGGATGCCAAGGAGTTGGGTGAAGCTACCCACCAGCTCCTCACAGGGAGACCCAAGTGTGGCTCAGCAAGGCAGGTCTGAGTGAGTGTGAGAAGTGGAGAAGGCAAGGCCTGGTGGGCTTTAAAGGGAGAGTGAGTTCTGAGGAGGGAGCTGGTTTTATCGCTATTGTGGTCATAAAAGCAGTCTAGCAGTATCACACAAATTTCAAAAACCAAAGGGCAAAACTATTACAATCTCACCCTCCTAACGCAGCTATTGTTACCATTTTTAAAAGAATCCCTGCAGGCATTTTTTGTGTGTGCAAGTGCAGGTTTGGGCACAGCTGTGGCCATCGGGAACACCCTTTCACTGTGTCACAGCCCAAGTCTGTCCCATGTTATTCCTGAGCCTCCAGAGGGAGGTTGTCAACATCTGCATATTCCCTGGGAGTGGTTGTTCTTTGCCACGCCTAGATCCATGAGTGTTTGGGCCATTTCCGAACTGCTTCATTGACAAATCATGTGGTGCCAAGTTTTTGAGAGGAGCATTGGTAAAAGGGAAAATGAAGGCAAAAAAGTGAGCCATGGGGGATGGCAAAGTAGGAGAAGAGGGGCTGACAGCCCGGCCAAGCCGTCAGGATGTGATATGCCCAATGCCATGCAGGGGCATGACTTGGGTCCAGCCAGTTCTTAAGGAGGGCGTAGATTTGCGGAAAAGCAGGACCCGACCCAGAGCCAGTGAGAAGGGCTCAAGTAGAAAATCCATTGCTCACCCTCTCTAACGTTTGACTCCTCGGAGAGCATCAGCAGCCAGTGGGGTTCAGCTGCACAGAAGGAGTTTGGAGGGTCCAAGCTGCCCTTTGGCAGCACATTAAGTGCCCATGATGCTTGCCAAGCCCATGGGCTTGAGCCTCGGCCATGATGTGACCTAGAAGAAAGGGGTTAGGCACAGGGCTGATCATTTTAGCCACTATTGGGATGGAAAGACCAACAGCCTGGGAGTTAGCAAAACTAATGTCAGTCACAGCTATGCCTTTAATTAGCTGTGTGACTTCAGGTTGGTCACCTTCCCTCTCTGAGCCACAGTTTCTCTGTCTATAAACAGGGATCTTGGACTAGAGTCCCTGTTACCATTCACATCTCTGTGAAAGATCTGTTTCCAAAAACAGTCCTTAGGGTCACAACCTCACACGAGAAGTGTGGGATGCAGCAGATTCAATTCCCAGCTCTGTCCCTTCCCAGCTGCGGGACCTCAAGATTTGAAGTACCCTCTCTAAGCTTGGATGTTCCAGCTATGAAATGGAGGCAATACCTAACTCATAAGGTTGAGGTACGGATGAAATGAGTTAACACATGCAAAGTGCCTGGAACAGCACCTGGCATAGAGTTTGTTTTCAGAAAAAGTTGAAAGGTGATTGCTCTTCAGAGAAAATAAGATAATGCAGGAAAAACAACTAGGAAAAGCTATTGGACATTCAATATATAGCATCTTTGCTTCTTTTATCCTTCACCCTGGGCCTAATAATCCATTGCACGTAGTAAGTGATTCACAAACATTTGCTGACTAGATGGATGATGTCATTGCTTCCTCTAGCTTAGTACTGTATGATTGAAGCGGATCCATTGCTGGTCCCCCAAGATGCAGGCATCATGACAAAACAGGCTGAGATGCCAAAACCACTCTAGCAGAAAAGCCATCTCTGATGCAGAGAAGATTCGAACTGCCCCTTAAGCCCACTATGGTTATTTTTAAAAAGAAAAGAAAGTAACAAACAGCTGATGTAGCACCCCACTGATCTGGAGATTCTGTTGAGGATGGAACCTTGGTGGTCTGGAGGAAAGCAGGTTGGTAGCAGGTGACCTGGGGCCTTTCTTGTTTCCTCCTCTGTGAAAAGAAAGGGTGGGGTGATCTCTCCCAGCTCTGACTCTACCTCACCATTCATGGCATCAACAGAAGGAAGAGTGAGCCCATTTTGGAGCTAAAGCCAAGTTGCGATTTTAGCTGCAGTTTTTTATATTCAATGAATGAATTTGTTAATTACAAATTACTCCTGTCTACTTAGATTCTTGGGGCCCCTGTCAGCAGAGTCCCTTGGAAATAACATCATCAAGTCTTTTTTAAATACTTGTCTTCGGACTTGTCCCTCTTGACCAGACGTCCCTCACTCCATGCAATGTGGCAGTCAGCATCATCTTGTGCAGATGGGAACATCAGGTGAAGCAGATGTGGGCTTGAATCCCAACTCTGGTACAGTTAGGTTATTACTCTAAATCTCAGTTTCTTCACCTGTAAAAAAAAACAGTATCTACTTTATAGGATAATCATAATGACTTCATGAGATATCAAGTGTGAAACTAGGCAAAACTGCACGTTGTCTGGCACAAAGTAAGTGCTTAACAAATAGTAAATATAGTAGTCACTTAATAAATCTTACCAAATTTTATCAGTCCAAGGAAAAATAGCAAAAGGAGGAGTGGTAAGGGAAAGAGAGGTGGAGGAAGGAGTGCTTGGCAACGTAGAATCTCCTCCTGCCCCAGGGTCGTTTTCAAAGTCTCTGCGGAGAAGGGATGGGGCCACCTGCCATCAGCCAAGCTCAAAGGTCAAAGGACAGGGGTGACTGCTGTTGGCTCTTGACCATCTCTGACGTGTGAAAACATTTGACATGAAAGTAGAGACAAGTAGGG